TTCTGTGATTTGTTTGATTTTTTGTCGTGTTGAAATCTGAAAAAAAAATATAATCACGAAAAACGTGTTGATTCAGAAATAGTTGAAAACCGAGCTTGATGATTATGTATTCTAGGGTTTTGAGTTTTTACAATATCACATAATAGCAAACTTAATATATAGAATTTTATATTAAAACACACATTTCAACTCATAGAATAACAAGAATATCATGTAATAACATTTCATAATATGTAGAATATTCTACAAGAACATACATTATAATAATTAGAGTAATTAAAATATAACATAATAACAATCAAGAATATATATATATATATATATATATATATATATATATATGTATATATATATGTATATAAAATAAATATGAATACAAAATATACAAAGTGTTCAAATAAATCATACATTACAATTTAGAACATATCTAAAATTATACTAAAACATACATTATACTTCATAGAAGAATTGGAATATCACATAAAACATTCCAAAACATGTAGACTTTACTGGAATTATCAAGTTCATGATGGGGATCAAAGTTGTTATAATAAAGCATCACCAAAAAATTTGTAGAATGCTATATTTTGGAATTATCAAGCAACATAATATTCTAAAAGTATCAAGTTTATGATGATGATGATGATCAAGGTTTGTATTATTAAGCAACACATGTTATCTATAATTATCAAGAAACATTAATTTGTTGGAATTATAAAATCCATACAAAATTATCAAGAAAAAAAATTAGGTTTGAAAAGAAATTAGGATTTAGGAGATATTACAAGATAACAAATTAAAGGAGAAGAAAGAACCTGGCAATTTCTTTTACACAGTGAAAATAGATCAAAATTAGAATTAGAACACGAATTCGAAAGAGATGTATTTGAAAATTGATTGAATCGATGAAGTCTCGATGCAATCATAATTTTTTCTTGATGAAATCTGAAAATATATGAATCATAATTAGCAAGATGAAATTAGGTTTGAAAAGAAATTAGGATTTAGGAGATATTACACGATAACAAATTAAAGGAGAAGAAAGAACCTGTCAATTTCTTTTACACGGTGAAAATAGATCAAAATTAGAATTAGAACACGAATTCGAACGAGATGTACTTGAAAATTGATTGAATCGATGAAGTCCCGATGCAATCACAATTTTATCTTGATGAAATCTAAAAATATATGAATCATAATCAGCAAGATGAAATTCGAAAAAGATGAAATTAGAATCAGTTTTCTATGAAGTTAAATGCATGATAAAAGTATGACATTCCTGATTATTCAAAGCATAAATATATTTAACCATGACTATTATTCTATGAAACATTCACCAGACATTCAAAAAAACCATACCAACTGTTCAAAATTAAAAAGATAACCAACATTCAAACAAACAAAACACTACCATATCATACATACTCAAAGATTTCTAGATCTTCCAGAAATTTTATTCACATCATTCTAATGTGTTCCTTGCATCGATCAATTCCCTCACCATTTTTAATGAGCCTCCTTATCAACCTTTCCTTATTCCTTTGATTTGTTATTTTTTTTGTTCTTGTGCTTGTTTATTGTATGTATATAATACTTTGCAGCATACATGCAACATAAAATATGTAAGCTTCTTATTCTATAGAAAACCTTATTTACCTAAGTCAAAATTCCACATTTCCACTTACCTACATGTTACCAAAATACTTTTAGATCTGTCACATTAACAATACACCATAATTGGTTATAAGTTCCTTGTATTACTAAAGCAAGTTCATCCTACTTACTGAAAGTAACTTTGCTGTAATGTATTTTAATAAAATTACATTATTTCTTATTTTCTAAGAAAAGTCATACACTAATCAGTTATAGTTACATACATATTAACCAGAAGACTAACAAAATATATGTTCTTAAAAAATTTCTTAAATTAACAACAAACATTAATCATTGTAACATTCTACTAATATTTACAAGCATAAAACCCAGAATAAATATCTAGTAAGATATAATGTTGTTAAGTCAATCGAATTTGAAACAAGTTAACTCAGACTAATTGCAAACATAAAAAGTCAATAACATTCTAAAGCTTTACAACAAACAGGAGATTCCATTAGTTACCAAATCATGAAAAATAAATCAATAATCCATGGATTCATAGAATTTGAAATCATATAGAAAGAAAAATCATCTAAACATGGAATTCATAGAAATCAAACTCATAAAAAAATAAACTAAAGGATATATTAGTTTTATCTTACCCGATTGTTGAAATATTCATTCTTGATGATTATAATCAGAATAAAGAGATCCAAAATCAGAGGTATTCAAGATTTGATTTGTGGTAGAATGAAATCATGGTTTTCAGAAGAAGAACCAGAATCAGTTTCTTAGGGTTTTATCGAGGGGTTTTGGAGAAACGTATCATAATTAAAATCGCAATCGATTTAATGATGACAGGAAGATCAATGTGAAGCAAAATCAAAATCAAGAATAAGAGAAAGTTGAAAGGTATTCAGTTCTTCCATCGAGATTGCATATCACGAAGAAATATGATTTTTAGGGTTCGGTGGTAGGTGAGGGTTTTTCTGGAGCGTGAAGAATGAATAAAACTGTTTGAATCACAATTGCAAATCAATTAAAAGTAAATTTACGTTACCACCCCTCCGTGTTTTTCACTAATCCTAAAGTTTGAAAAAATTACATAAATGCCACCGCCTCTTTATGTTTTATTTTGATTTAATCTGAGCCATAGATCATGGTGGTTGAATGGTTTAGATTTTGTCCCCATGTCTCACAAAATATCATTGTCTCAATTGAACTCAACCCTATATATATATATATATATATATATATATATATATATATATATATATATATATATATATATAGAGAGAGAGAGAGAGAGAGAGAGAGAGAAAAAATCGGCCTTGACGACCGATTAATTAGTGATTAGTTGATTGGCGGCCTTGAATCGATTACGATTAGGGTGCTTGGCAGTAATTGGTCAAAATCGGTCAAAGTCGGGCTTGGCGGCCCTTAGCGGTCCTCTGCGGACATTGCGGGATTTTTTTTAAAAATCCAAAAAATTTAATTTTCAATTATTACACCAAAATTTTATATTTTGTATATTTTTTAGCATTCAACTTTTTAAAATATTATAATAATATTTTCAAATTTATAAAATTTTAAATTTTCAAATACTTAGTTTTTTTAGGGAATATTAATTTTTTGAATAATTTTATTAATAATCAAGGGTCCCCGATTAATCTCCGAAAAATCCCCGCCTAGTCCGATTAATCACTTATCGCCAGTTGACCACCGAGTTACCGTCGAGCGATTTTTACAATATATATATATATATATATATATATATATATATATATATATATATATATATATATATATATATATATATATATATATATATATATATATATATATATATGGGTAATATTTGTATCGTGATTGTAATCACTTTTCAAAATTCGTGATTTTGCCCCTAGCTTGTGTATCATGAAATCAGATTTGATATAATCCAAGATTGACAATTTAGAAGTAATGTCACTTCTAAATCTGAAACACAAAAAGAACCTTGTTATTTTGTGTTCTTAAGATATAGAGAGAATTTGATGATCAAATTCGTATATTTGAAACTCCAAACCCTTTCTGGAACATTTTCTCCGTTCTTATACAGGAAGGAAAAGAGGTTAAATGGTGGTTACATCCATTTTTGGCACGAAAATTGTTCGTTAGATGGGTGGTTATAAGACATAATAAAAGCGAAACCACCGCCAGTGGCTCTACCCATTGGATTCTGCAAGGGACGTTGCCTCCAGTACCCAAGGCGTTTATCACTCCGAGTGTGGATCTTGTCCTTCCAGTCTCGGTGAGTAAATAGAATCCAGTCTATTTTAATATTAATAATAATAACATCAAAATATATTGATAACATTAAAATGATCAACAAAATATATTTATTTATTAAACATGGAACAAATACATTACAAAAAGCTCAAATAAATGTAAAAAAACTATTTAATTAAGTTTGAAAAAATTAATTGCACCCAAGGAACAAAATATGATACACTTTAAAAAAATTATACACTTAATTTATATATATATATATATATATATATATATATATATATATATATATATATATATATATATATATATATATATATATATATATATATATATATATATATATATATATATATATATATATATATATATATATAGAAACGAGGTTACCAAACTTAAAGATGGATAGATGTTGATTGAAAGATATATTGTTTAGTATATCAGCAAACAAAAAGATAATAATAATAATAATAATAATAATAATAATAATAATAATAATAATAATAATATATCATTTATAGAACTTGAAATTTTGATAATGCGATGTTAAGATAATTTGATATTTTTACAACTTTATAACTATCGCACAATCAATTTATTAAGTGAAGATATCACTTAAATATAACGATATAATCAAAATTTTATTCGTTCTAGAAATTTTGTAAGTTAAGGATTGTGAATTTGTGATGGTGATTAAATCATCAACTAGTCCAAGTCCAAATTCCAGTAACGGAAAAACCATCCAGTCAAAGATAAGTTTGTTTGGAGGACCAATTAATACCCAATGGCCATTTTTAATGAAAAAAGAAAGCGACATTTGTTTTGACTTGGACGTGGTTTTAGGTTGTTCATATAATTAAATTATACGGTTTTTTTTGTATGGAATAAATTAATAGTTTGGATAAATGTCAATAGACCAATAGGAACATCCAGAGGGTAGAACGCTATCTGACCAAGTATCCATGTTTGTCTAGTATTTCTTTAATAGAAAAGGGACTGTAGCACATTAACATTAAAGGTATGATAATTGTTCAATTTGGTCATTATTTTTTTTTTAGCACATTAGACCATTAAAATCATATTTTACCTGTCAATTTAACCATTTTCCCCAATTTTAAATGGTTTTCCAAGTTGCAATGCCTATGTGGATGGTTGATGTGTTGATTATGCTTACGTGTAAGATGTATGTGGAGTGTAGGGAAAACTGACCATGTAAGACATATGTATCCCCACCTAGGGATGTCAACGGGACCAAACGGGAGCGGGAATAGCTGCCCCCGCTCCCGCCCCCGAAATCAATTGTTGCCCTCGCTCCCGGTCCCGCCCCCGGCTCCCCCGTTTACATAGCTCCCGGTCCCGCTCCCGATTACCTCTATCACCCCTGGTCCCGCCCCCGTTCCCCCGGTTCCCCCGCTTAAAATTCGTTTTTTTTTTTGCTAAACGACTACTTTGTGTTAGGCTAAAAAGCTTGTTTTTAATAACTTTAAAAGTTTAAAACATAATCTTTTAGAAACTAAACAATTAAAAATTCAACATTACGAATTCAATATTACAAAACGACAATTCCATCAATTTTAAAAATATAAAATATGACAAATCCAATATTACAAATATAAAATACTTACATATCCAAAAATATATGATCAATTCACTACCTCTTCAATATCTATTAATTGAAAACGGGAAAGTGAAACCTAACCTACATTTAAATTAGAAAATCTATTTTGTATATGTATTTTATATTAAATATATATTTTTTACATAAATGTACAACCGGGGCCCCGCGGGAGTACGGGACGGGAATACCAACTCCCAGTCCCGGTCCCGAAAATAAGCGGGGTTTAATTTTGCCCCCGCTCCCGCTCCCGGTTTTTTTAAAAATTTAGTCCAATACGGGATCGGGGTCCCACGGGAGCGGGGTTCCACGGGGGTTTTTGACATCCCACCTAATAAATGATAAGACCCACCTTAACATCTTTTTCCCCTTTATCTTCTCTACAACTTATTCCATTTTACGATCATCTTCAAATTCTATTATATATCCTTAATTCCAATTTACGATCATCTTCAAATCTGCACTTTTTCCGACGAAGATAATCGGTAAATTATTAAGAACACGAGACTTCGTGTGCTCACAAACTCCAAAAATAAAAAAGAGAACAGGAAATAAGGAAAACAGGGGAAGTTATTCAATTTCTCAATAGTCAATACATCACTAGGATATGTTGTTTAAATAAAATAGAAAATACCAAAATTAAAGCAAACAATCATAGCTGATTTCAAGGCTTGATATCTTGGCTGTCAATTTAGTAAAGACAATTAGCCCTAATATCTTTTTTCACCTTGACGTATGCTAACCATAAACAAATGAATCTTGTTGTGTTGACTTGTGCTCTCGTTGGAATTTATTTGTCGGCCTATCGATCTCAAACTCTCCGGCGAAGTTGAAGCCGATGATGTAACGAATGCCAGAATTAAATCTCAACGGAAGTTTCTGAACTTATCAGATTGGCAAAGAAGACGTTTTTGAACTTATCAGCATTTAAACTCTGCAATGTTGAAACAAATTCAATACATTTTACCTCCATATTACTAAGCACGAGTCACAAATAACCGCTCCCTCATTTTGAGCCCTTAGATCTCTTCAACTTTTGATCTCAGCCGCATAAAATCACTATTTACAGTTTTTTTTTTTTTTTTTTAACAGTTTCTTTGCTTCCTCCGCTTCTTCTTCCCCACGTTGGGCTAACCCCCTTATTCTTCAACTGCTCATCTTCCGTTTTATTAGTGATCCATGGCAGTTCGTCGTCACCCGACGATCTCAACCATCGTCGGTTGTCTCCTTCAACAAACATTCAATCGGTTAATCAGTTACCTTTAAAGAGTGATTTGGTTAGGGATGGCAACGAGATGGGTTTGGGACGGGCTTTGGTAATCCCATCCCCATCCCCGAATATGAAAGTCGATCCCATCACCGACTCGATTCCCAACGGGTACCCGTTTACCAAACAATATCGGGTCTGCGGGTATCCCAACAGGGATGCCCGTTTAACATTCAAATTAAGAATAATTTTGATGCAATGAAAATGCAAAACCATTAGACTTAGTGATGCAAGCATAAATTCATATCAAAAATAATTTTGATAATTTACAAAATCATTAAGAGCAGACGTATTCGTTTTGATACATAAGTGGTTACTAGTGGCAAAAAACAATAAAGACACTAACATTCATAAATCATAATATCACCATTACTCTAAGTACTATGAATAAAAAAATGTCAAAACACTAGTATTACAAATATAAATAAACAGGAAGTTATTTCAAAAAATTATCTTTAAATCTTCTACAACAAAGAAGATAGCTCAAGGAAAATAATATATATATATATATATATATATATATATATATATATATATATATATATATATATATATATATAGAGAGAGAGAGAGAGAGAGAGAGATATGTTCAAATATTTTTGACAATTATTGCATGCCTGTATGCACCAATGAGAATTCAGGAAATAATAAATTATTAAATAAATCATTTAAGAGTATTATAGTAATCTTGGAATATTTAAATATGATAGATAATTAATATATTTGTCATCCCTTTATATATGGGATATCAAAGTCAAATCCAAAAAACCCTATGCTTGAAAATTACAATTGCCGTCAATCCATTCACTTATTTTCTATTCTCTCCGGCTTTCACCCAATATCGATTGACTCCGCCACCACCGTCGAACGCTGCCACCGATCAAGAATATAGGCATGCTTTATTTCTCTACAGTTCATAGCACATGGAATTTGACTCTAGTTTTTCTCTCTTCCAGTTATTTCTGTTGATTGTGATGATATAGCGATGAATCCATTTCATGTCGTGTGGATGAATCTGACCCTTTTTATGAACGATTGAATGAGTTCGAATTTGACAAGTGATTTCAATTTTATTTATTTGAAACTGCAGTTGGGAATGCGGCTGTACAAAGGAGAAGACAACATGTTGTTTCAGTAACGAAAGAAAGAACATAAGCGAGGTTCAGAACCAAGCGATAATGTACGGAAGGAGTTATCAACTCCATGGATGTTTCCATCAATGGCAACATGATGATTGGTAAGCCTCTAACTATTTTTTTTTTGAAGAAACTGAAGAAGCACACCACGTGTTCGATAAAATGCATAGTTGAAATCATATTCTGTATATCTATGTAGTCTGCCAGAATGTATTATATGTATTATATCATATTCTATATATTCTGTCAGAATATATAAAATCATAGAAATTGCAAGTAACATGAAAGGATAAAAGGTTAGACATCTGTTATTCATTTGATTGTTAATAAATTGTGAGGATAAAAATTTGTTAACTTTTTTTATTCATGTCGTCCGATTATGAGTTTGGTTAATTATTTATATGTTGATAATAAATCCTGCTAGAATTTTACTGTTTTATTTTGATAAAATTTTAATATTGATATGTTGATAATGTATTCTAACATAATTTTACTGTTGCATTTTAACAAAATTTGTGATAGAAATGGCTTGAAGAACTGATGGGAAGTGCTTGAAGAATGAATTAAAGAATGACCACACTCAATGTTTAAGAATGTTGCTAATTTTTAAGAATTACACTTGTTATTCTTTCAGAATGTTGTTATTATTCAAAGAATCACAATTAATTATTTGATATATTATTAGTTCAAGAATATATTTTGTGTAATCTTTCAGAATGTATTTAGTAGTTTATGATTGACATTATGTTATTCTGACAGAATAAAATCGAAAATATATTTACAAGTTCATGGTTGGCATCTGTCATTCTGATAGAATAAAATCGGATTTTTAAATTTGAATTAATTAAAATTATTCAGATTTTTAAAAATAAAGAAATTAATTATCCTTAAAAATCCGAAAATTTCCTTTTTTAATATAGGTTAATTGACTAAAATGCCCTTATGCTGAAATTTGTGTGATTATATGGTACATGTTATCTTATTATAGTATCATAGACCCTCAGATCATAACATTTGATTCTATTTCATCCGGTGGTCCAGATCTGTGCATTCTGACACACAATAGTTAGTAAAAACAAAATAACCTAACCTATATATATATATATATATATATATATATATATATATATATATATGAACAGTTTCAGGTAATGGGTTTCGGTTTCAGGTACTCGGGACGGGTATTTTGTTTACTATCCCCGTAACCAAACCCACGAAAATTTTCTAAAAGCATACCAAACCCGATCCCAACCCCGATTAACCGACCCCAAACCCAACCCTAATATGTTGGTTTTCGGTTTTCACCATCGGGTTTGGTTTCTTCTGCCATCCCTAGATTCGATTATGGCTTCAACCACTTCTCCATAATCCCTAAACATCATGTAGTTGTGGTAACTGATCTGCCTATATAAGAGGTCACTACTTTGTATTCGCTATTCCATGGTAATTTTGTTAATCGGTTCATTAATTTTTTCTATTGCTTCATTTTTCACAACAACCTCTTCACCATCCATTTGAAATCGAGTCAAGATTCATAAAAGGAAATCATCGACTTTTTTTTTTTTTTTTTTTTCAGATTAGGGCATGGGTCTTTTAGACCGAATTCAGATCAAAGCTTGAGAGGGTTTCCAAGCAGAATTGTGGCTATGGTTGATCAACGGTAATTTTCCTCTGTAATTTGCCTATGTTTATAAATGTTTCGAATGATGATCCAAGTATTTTCTTTGGTTTCAATTTTGTTATAATGTATTATATTGCCAAAGGAAACACACTTTCTTCTTTAGTTTCTTTGAATAACCCTCTATACGCTCCAAAATATGTACTTTTTTTCCTGATATAATAATTATAGTTGAGAGATGAAGCTCATTGTTCGTCAAAATCAAGTAAGAAAGAGGCTAAAAAACAAGCACATATTTCCCACCGTCTTATTCATTCATTGATGATGATTATTCTTATTTGAATCTTAAACTTTCTATTCTGATGTTTTTAATTTTTTTAAAAATTTTACATCATCACGATAACATTACATAAATGGTCCATGTGCAGGAAATACATTACAAAATTGGTCCTTGTGCATAAAAAGATTACATATTTTGTCTAGTGGTAGAAAAAGATTACATAATTGGTCTATGTGGCAGAAAAATAATTACATAATTGGTCCCTATGGCAGAAAAAGATTATGACATTGTACCCTATGGCAGAAAAACAAAAACAACAGTAGGATTTACTTATTATTGAATTTTTTTTGTAAAAGATAGCAAGTACCTTGCTATTATTGCCAAAGTAATGTAAGTATATTACTATTATGGTTAAAATTTTATAGCATATAACATATGCTGATTAGATTCGAAAGGTGTTATTTTTTTATTTTAGTTCCATGTGGAAAACTTTGAGGATGTTTATTTTTTTGACTAAATGACCTTACTATACTTAATCTGGTTTGCACTATATAGCTGATTATTTTTCCCTTAATGTGGACATTTGCCGTAATAATAGTGTACATATATTTATTTAGTTGTAACAGCAACATACTTAGAAATTTGTAATATGTAGTAACAAGTTACTTTTTTTTTTTTTTTTTTTTTACTTATAATAGCATTATATTTACTATTTACCGAATTCGCTTCTATGCAGAAAAATCTTACATAATTGGTTCATTTTTAGAAAAAGGGTTACAAAATTGGTCCCTATATAGGAAAAGATTACTTATATTTTTAACAATAATGGCATCGTACTTTTTTCTTAAAACTAATAATAGCATCATACTTATGTTTTTAAACATAAAATAGCAATATACATTTTTTTAATCAAATAATTTTGCTGATTACTGTCAAATATATACACTGAATTATGTTAAAAAAGAAATTGTTTTTAGCAATGTACTTTCATTTGATTGATTGAACTATAAAGTATGGATTTTTGCAATGTACCTTTTTTTTCTTTTATCTACATGCAAATAGGCGTTTTAACCATAATGGTAATTATTGTCACCATTATGTTCAATTTTGTATAATTTATATTTTATGTTTCTTAAATTTGGTAAATATATTTTGCAAATGTTATACTACAATTAAAAAACTTTATAAAATATAGTAATGTGCTTGAAAATAGGTCATTATAATAAACACATCACCAAATGTACATTGCTCTCAATGCATTCTCTCCAAAAATAAATAAACAACCTTATATGAATGATAAAACTATAATTGGGTAGATTTGCCATAATAGAATGCTATAATGGGATCGTTTTGAGACTGATTTTATAAAGGTCTATATTACCATGTCTTAAAAAAATATTTTAGAATTATTTATGTTTGTATTGTAGGTTATTTTACTTTTTAATATTAAGCTAATATTTTTTTAGATTTTAGCTAAAGTCTATCATGTTTCAAGTGTATTTGACCTATATAAGTTGTATCTTTTTAGAGTTTGAGACACTTGTCCTTTGGAAGGGGTATTCAGTTGGGAGAAGTTTAAAAAACCTAGAGCTTATAGTCTGTATAAAAGATATTTAATTTTCATCAACATATTTTTTTCTTCTCTTACACGTTCATGTTCATCAATTGATATGTTCTTTACTGTTTTCAGTAACTTCCACTTCATTTATAATGTTGTAACAATATTGATGATGGACATTGTTATTTTGCTATCTAGGGTGTCTAGAGGGTGGGTAGTTTGGTCTTCTTTTTGAAAAGTTTGTAACAAATTTTAGTCATATTTACTGATATTAATAACATTTTATCAAAAATTTTTTGAGTAACCATAGAAATCAGGTGATATATTGGGTTTAAATATGTATGAATACATATGCATATTTGTTTTCCTTCTTGATCAGGTTTGCACATCCCTCCCGCATGTCAAAGTTTTACCTGAATCATAATAAGAAAAGCAAATTCATAATGAAATTTACATACAATGGTGTTTTCTATTTGAATCATAAAAAGAACAACAAATTCAAAAACAAACATATAGATCATGTGTTTGCTAATGGATTTAAGATTGATCCCACGATTGATAATAGTACAATTTTATTAAAAAAATGATGAAGGTGATTATATAGTCGAAGATGAATATGAATATTTGTTTAAAATCCCTGATATAGAAGTTGATTTTTCAGCAGAATCGTGTATCGGATCCTCAATAACACCAAAAAAGCGTTGACTTCTACGATTGTGTATTTAGTCTACTGATGATGATATTCCTACTTGACTTTAAAGTAATAAATCATTAGATTTCTCTTTTCATTTTTAACTTAATTTCATTTCATTGTATGCTACTCGATTCTTATGGTTTTTATTTTATGATCTTTTTATGCTTTATTTTCATTCATATGCTATTTATTTGGGTATATTTTTCATTCTACAATGCATGGTAACAAATGATATAACTATGATATAGAACAAGTTTGTTTTTTTTTCTATGTAAAGGGAACACAATATACTATTGAGGGAACCATCGTCGATATAGATATGTTTAATGATTAGAAATTTGTCCATTGTGGAACATTTCCTAAGAAGGTTACTATGTGTGATGGTCGTTATTTTTGTTTAAGTTGTCAGAAAAAAAATGTTGATAACCCTCATCAACCGTAAGTATGAATGGGAGCTCTTAGACCAAGCGTTATGGGGACCATGTATTGATTTGATATCATCAACAATCTCAACAATGGTAATTATTATTTCATATTGTGGTAAGTTATGTAAAAGCTATTGTTTATATGTATTAAACTTGATTTCTCTTAATATACATAGGATGCTTGTGATACTAAAGAAAATGATGGTCTTCAAAATGTATATATGATGTTAGTGATGCAGAAGCAGAAGAAGACGGAAGTGAGAATAGATGGGCTAATTTATATTACTTATATAAAGTTAGATTATGTTTTTTTGGTATGTTTCTTATTAATGTGATCGTTATTTACAATTAGGTAGGTAATGATAATATTGAAGATTATATTTGTAACACACCTATCTCTATCTCTACTTTACAAGATGGTGAAGAATTTCAAGTAAGTTACATCATATTTTTTAAATTTTATATTTTTTTTACGGTATGGAAATAATTTTTCTTCAATTGTTATTGTTAGCTATTCTGTTACAAAAAGTTTACTTCCCATGATTCTTATTGTCGTGTTGGTATTTTTATAATTAGACGTCTTTTGATGATATTGAAGCTGATTCTTTTGAAAAATCGTGTATCAGATTCTCAATAACACCAAAGAAACGCCATTAGCTTCCACGCATGTGTGACGAGTCTACCAATGATGATATACCTAACTGACTTTAAAGTAATTAAATAATAGATTTCACTTTTTCTGTTTTTAACTTAATTTTATTTAATTATGCGTTAATCGATTGCTATTCTTTTTATTTAATTGTCTTTTAATGCATTTTTCATCCATATGTTATTTATTTGGTAGATTTATCATTGTATTGTACAGTGCATTGTAACAAATTACCTAATGATGATATTGAACAAAGTTAAATATTAGTAAAATAATAATTATTTTTTATTAAACCGGTCAACTATCCACCAGACGGGTATTAAACTAGTTCTGATTAAGGTCAACTTCAGGTTGGCACTCTTCTAGACCTTTGTACGTGTCCAAGATCCGATTTTTATTCCTCTATGTAGCTAGATCTTGAGTTCTGTCCCTTTTTCTCCTTATTATTGGATGTTGCAATGGATGGATCTCATAAAGTTTGCAACTTTATGAATCTCTAGGTCAAGGTAACCTTAAAGTGGCTTGGATCTGGTCATCAACCAAGTTTTGATGCCATACATGGAGTTTAGGTCATATTTCCCCCTTTTGACCTATTTTTGGTTCAAGTCATGCATTGGACATGCATGTCTATAAAGCACCAACCTTTGGGTTGATTTTGATGCTAGAATCTCTTTTGGAAAGGTTGGGTTTCAGATTTTAAGGATTTTGTGCTTATGGGTTAAGCCCTTGAATCTTCAAGCTTTGAGGATGGGTTTTTGAACTCTTGGAGTATACCAAAGGATAAAGTTGGAAACTTTATCCTTTTTTATAACATTTGAGTTTAGATCTGAGTCTTAGAGTCCCTGGAATCGTAGGAACAACTGAGTGTATTAAGCTCGGGCAAACAAGGCGTGTTTGCAAGCTAACACGGCGTGTTGGCTAGGGTTTTCTCGAAAATCTGATTGCTATAGAAACACGATGTGTTTATTAGTGCACACGACGTATTGGGTCCATATGGACTGTTGACCTTGACCGTTGACTTTGACTTTGACCAAGTTTGAATTTTAATGGTATTTTGGGTATATTTGGGTAATGGAACTGGTCACATGGTGGTTGTAGGTATTTGAGTCGAGAGTTGAGATTCAGATTCAGACCTTATCAGTTCTGTACTACTTGAGAGGTGAGTGTTCCTCACTATACTTGTTGGGTCGAAGGCACCAATGCCAACCCTTTTGGATTGTTATCCTGATTATTGCATGATTGAGTATTTTTGTGATCTGTTAGATATATATCCTGGTAGATATGATGATGTTATGCTTAGTGATCTGTAAGATCTGCATGTTTGTCTATTGCCCGATTATATGTTTATTTGTAATGTATATGTCAACATGTTATGTGCGGTTAGGTTGAGGCGGTCCTGCTTTGTGCTGAACGCCAACAGACCCATGGCGTCCTGGATAGACTGAAAGCCAGTAGGGCATACCAATCAGGTGGAAGGCCCAGAAAACGTTCCAGATAGGCTAAAGTCCCAAGGTGGCATACCAGTCATGTTGTAGGTTCTATGAGCATACCAGATAGATAGTAAGCCGGTGGGGTGTTCCAGTCAGATTGGTGGCTCTATATGCATGTTGTTTATTGTATTATTTCGGTTTTGTGTTGTGTTGGTACCTTGGGGGAAACTTACTAAGCTTTGGACTTATAGTTTTGGATTATCTTTTAGGTACTTCAGAGGATCGCGAGAAGGCGAAGACGTGATCGTGCACCTCCTCATATTTTATTTCACGATTTTGGGATTTCTCTGATGTTGAACTTATTTTGAAAACAATTTGTAAATAATGATGGTTTTTCTTTTTGAGAATTTTATGAATGTTACATTGTTCTTCAATTTCTTATCTTCAAAAAATTTCTCCTTCAAAGTATTGTTTTGTGCAGTTCTTTGAACTCTAAAATCAGATATCTCCGAATACCTTTCCTCTAAAAAGCTCCTTAAATCAATAATGCAAAAGGCTATTTATAGTTTTGCAAAAGATGTGGCTCACGTCGTGAGCTATGGGTCTCATGTTATGATCTAGGTGTTTATCCTTATCGGGAAAGGATTTTGACTTAATGCGTAATTTTCTAGAATACGCTCCTCACATCGTGAGAATTGACCCCTCACGTCATGAGCTTGGTTTTTTCAGCTAAAATCTTCTTCTTTTAAAATTCAATCATCCAAAGTTCCAATTCTTGTCAGCAAAATACAATTTAATTTAATAAGTACCAAATATCTTTGCAAATAACCAAAATATTACTTACGCGTTTAAAATGTAGGACTTATATATATATATATATATATATATATAAGCCCTACATTTTAAACGCGTAATTGGAAAAAGCACTAATATTTTTTATTATTATTGCTATGGCTACAATTTTCTCGTAGAATTATCACTCTAGCTCACTTAACGAGTTTTATGGTTAACTTGGTTAACTTTTTTAACAAATCAGTCATAAAAAGATCAATTTTGGTCCCTGGGGTTTGCAAAAAAATTACACCACATGGTTTTTTAACTTTATTTTTTGTTTTTTGTATACTTTATTTATTTTCGGTTTTTATAAATCTATATATATATATATATATATACATTTTTATTTCGTTTTTTATATAATTTATTTATTTTCATTTTTTAACAATTTTTTTTATCTTTTTACTTTTTCTTTCCATTTTTTTCTATTTTCGTTATTTATGGTTTTTCTAATGTTTTTATTTATTTTGATTCAAATAAACTAACTTGAATTCAATATAAATTACTATAACAATTTTTTTTATAGAGACATATTTTTTTTTTTTTTTTTTTGTTTTTTTAGTCTATTATCAAATTGAAAAATATTATCTTGAATTTAATCTATTGATATCACACATAGAAATATGATTTATTTGCAAGTTATATAACACATTGAAACACTAATTCTCAGTAAACAAGCTAATTTTTTTAATTTTCGTTTTTTCATAACATAAATATAATAACACTAAAGAAAAAAAGAATAAAAAGAAAATAAGTTGGACTGAAATTACAAATATAAACATAATTATTTTGATTTACTTGAATAAAAATAAAAAAATTACAAAAACTATAAATTATCAAAATATTAATATACTCTAATATATTAATATATTTTATATCTTTTGAAAAAGGTCAACAAAAAGATAAAAATACAAAAAAAAAAAAAAAAAAAAAAAAAACAAAAAAACAAAAACAAAAACAAATAATTGGAAAACAAATAATAAAAAAAAAAGATGAAAAAAATAAAATTAATATGAAAAAACCTAAAAAAAAACTCTAATATACTCTATATATACACTAACAAATAGAAAACAAAAGGTAAAAAGGTTAATAAAAATTGTTGAAAAATAAAGTTAAAAAATGAAAATAAATAAAGTATATGTAGAAAAAGAAAATAAAAGTGTACATATATTTATAAAAAAAAAACTGGAAATAAATAAAGTATACGAAAAATGAAAAATAAAGTTAAAAAACCATGTGGTGTAATTTTTTGCAAACCTCAGGGACTAAATTTGAACTTTTTAGGATTCACTTTGCAAACAAGTTAACCAACTTAACCATAAAACTCGTTAAGTGGGCTAGAGTGATAATTATGTCCAAAAGTTGTGGCCCTAGCAATAAAAAAAATATTAGGGCTTTTTCCAATTACGCGTTAAAAATTTAGGATTTTTATAATATTAGTGTATATATACACACACACACACACACACACACACATATATATATATATATATATATATATATATATATATATATATATATATATATATATGTATATATACACATATATGACAATGTCAAAATACCCCACACTTATCATTTGCTTGCCCTAAGAAAAAAAAAAAAAAATACTAAATTAAACTTTCATCACCAAAATCACATAAGAGAGTCCATTTTGAACTCAACCATTATACCAAGACCTTAATGTCCATATTTGTGTCTAAGGTTCCTAAAAACTTCCCAATCCTAAAAACTCACAATCCTTATGAACCTTCACCCCTTAGTTTTTGCGACACTCATTTCTGCAACCCTCCGAATCTAGTCTCAAAAATCTTTCTTAACTTCATGGTATTTTTAGTTAAGATACCCAAGCATACATAATCTAGAAAAATTACTACTTTGATATCACAATGGAGCTCTCGGAATTCTTCACTTCTTTGATACTTACTCTTTGATTTCTTTAAATTCATTACCTTTTTGTTTGATTTTTGGTATCTTCAACTTTTTTGATTCTTCATAATTTTGATCTTTTGATTTTCATACTTTGATAGCTCCAAAATTCTTATAACTTTTTGATAATTTCTCTCTTCTTTATATATATCTCATTTTTTTCTCTTAAATCCTACATGCTTAGATTATTATTTCAAATCTATTAGAAATTTTAATTTTTCTAATTTTTTTTTTAATTTAAATACCTTTTTTGACCCCTACCCCACACTTATTTTATACAATGTCCTCATTATATGCATAAATTAATTTAAAAGCAATAAAAGGGAGAAAAAGGAACAGAATCCCCTAGGGTAGTAGTGACCAGATCGAATTCTGCACATGCGTGGAAAACTTGAACACCTTGAGTATGTGACTAGAACTTGGATCTTTATTGTTACGTGTGAACGCGCTGACAAGATGTGAATCAGAAACTTGCATCTTCAGAAAGTGTGGTGCATAAGATCTTCAAAGCATAACATCTCAATGTGGGAAAGCATATGTCGCATTGAAAGGTTGAAAGAGTAGAATAAAAATGCCATTTTTTTGCGAACCACGACATGGTAAGAGAAGTCACAACGTGGTGTCGATGTAAATCGAATTCTGAATCACGATGGCATCGAGCTCACAATGTGAGGAGTAAAGTCTCATGTCGTGAAAATTGGGTCACAACAAAATGTATTTTGCAACAATTCTTCATTTCAATTGAAATTCTTAATGTATTAAGACTCTTCTAAAACCTCAATTTTGCTTGACTCTTCTCTTTTTTCTAATCTATT